CAAGGTAGAACCATGAAGGTGGTCCAGAGTCTCCTGGAGATGTGGGGAGACCTTGGGGACATCATGGGGACATCACTGGGCGGGACAGGGGACAGGGATGGGATGGAGACACCATGGGGACAGCATGGTAGGAGCAAGGGGACACCAAGGAAGGGTGTGAGACCCCAAGGTAGAACCATGAAGGTGGACTAGAGCCTCCTGGAGACATGGGGACACCTTGGGGACACCACTGGGGGGGCCAGGGGATGGGGACACCATGGAGACACCACGGGGAGACCATGGAGACACCATGGCTGGAGAAAGGGGACACCAAGGAAGGGTGTGGAAGCCCAAGGTAGAACCATGAAGGTGGTCCAGAGGCTCCTGGAGACATGGGGACACCTTGGGGACACCACTGGGGGGGCCAGGGGATGGGGACACCATGGAGACACCACGGGGAGACCATGGGGACACCATGGCAGGAGAAAGGGGACACCAAGAGGGGAGGTGGGACCCCAAGGTAGAACCATGAAGGTGGTCCAGAGCCTCCTGGAGACAGGGGGACACTTTGGGGACACTGTGGGGACATCATGGGGACACCACCGGGGGGGCCAGGGGATGGAGACACCATGGGGACACCATGGGGAGACCATGGGGAGACCATGGGAGGAACAAGGGGACACCAAGAGGGGAGGTGGGACCCCAAGGTAGAACCATGAAGGTGGTCCAGAGCCTCCTGGAGACATGGGGACACTTTGGGGACACTGTGGGGACATCATGGGGACACCACCGGGGGGGCCAGGGGATGGAGACACCATGGGGACACCATGGGGAGACCATGGGGAGACCATGGGAGGAACAAGGGGACACCAAGAGGGGAGGTGGGACCCCGAGGTAGAACCATGAAGGTGGTTCAGAGCCTCCTGGAGACATGGGGACAACTTGGGGACACCATGGGGACACCACCGGGGGGGACAGGGGATGGGGACACCATGGGGACACCATGGGAGGAACAAGGAGACACCAAGACGGGAGGTGGGACCCCGTGGTGGAACCATGAGGTTGGTCCCGAGGCTCCTGGAGATGTGGGGACACCTTGGGGACATCACTGGGGGGGCCAGAGGACGAGGATGGGATGGGGACACCATGGAGACACCATGGTAGGAGTAAGGGGACACCAAGGAAGGGTGTGGAACCCCAAGGTAGAACCATGAAGGTGGACCAGAGCCTCCTGGAGACATGGGGACAACTTGGGGACATCGTGGGGACGTCACGGGGACACCACCAAGGGGGCCAGGGGACAGGGATGGCATGGGGACACCATGGAAACACCATGGTAGGAACAAGGGGACACCAAGAGGGGAGGTGGGACCCCGTGGTAGCACCATGAGGTTGGTCCAGAGTCTCCTGGTGACATGGGGACACCTTGGGGACATCATGGGGACACCACCGGGGGGGCCAGGGGACAGGGACACCATGGCAGGAGCAAGGGGACACCAAGGAAGGGTGTGGAACCCCAAGGTAGAACCATGAAGGTGGTCTAGAGTCTTCTGGAGACATGGGGACACCTTGGGGACACATTGGGGACACCATGGAGACACCACCAGGAGGGCCAGGGGATGGGGACACCATGGGGACACCGTGGGGACACCATGGCAGGAGCAAGGGGACACCAAGAGGAGACTTTGGACCCCGAGATAGAACCATGAAGGTGGACCAGAGCCTCCTGGAGACATGGGGACACCTTGGGGACACCAAGGAGGGGACCCTGGGGACAGATGTGGTGGCTCTGGGCAGGGGGCAGTTGACCCTGGTGGCCCCTTGGTGACCAAGGTGGCCCCTTGGGAACAGGGATCTCCAAAGGGTTCCTTGAGGAACCTGGTGGCCCAACCCAGCCCCTTGGGGACTCAGGTGACCCTGGGGGGGCCCCAGGTGACACCAGTAGCCCCCCAGGTGGCCCTGGTGGCCCTGGGTGACCCTGGTAGCCCCTTGGTGACCAACGTGGCCCCTTGGGAACAGGGATCTTCAAGGGGTTCCTTGAGGAACCTGGTGGCCCAACCCAGCTCCTTGGGGATCCAGGTGACCCTGGGGGGGTCCAGGTGGCCGAGGTGGCCCCAGGTGACACCAGTGGCCCCCCAGGTGGCCCAAGTTGCCCAGGGTGACCCTGGTAGCCCCTTGGTGACCAAGGATCTCCAAAGGGTTCCTTGAGGAACCTGGTGGCCCAACCCAGCTCCTTGGGGACCCAGGTGACCCTGGGGGGGGTCCAGGTGGCCCAGGTGGCCCCGGGTGACACCAGTGGCCCCCCAGGTGGCCCAGGTTGCCCCCCAGGTGACCCCAGTGGCCCCTCACCTCAGCATCCAGGTGTCGTAGTCGATGTCCGTCATGGTGTTGGGGAACTCCAGGTCCTCGGGGCGGATGGCGGTGACCCCTGGAGGGGGGGACAA